AAGCGCCTTGAGGCGACTTTTGTTGTGATTTGGCGCTATATAAATAAAATTGAATTGAATTGAATTAAAATATAGATTTGAAATCAAAGGGTAAATATGTGCTAAAGATGTTTTGAATAGCTTTATGAACATCTTTCCAGTATAATGCATCAACTTTGAGGACAAAATGTTCACTTACTTGCTCTAACATTTTCCTTCAAAGCAATCATGTTGTGTTTGAAATTCATGCCACTGTGAAAACTGAGATTCTGTTGAGACGGTCACCTTATCCACGAACACAGAACCGAATTTACTTCAGGAATTGTCTCAGTAAATCCAAAGATGTGCATGTGTTTTAAACAAGGCTGTCCCCTAACAGTGTCGGTCTTTGAGAAAAATAAAGATATTAAACTTTATTTTTCACTCTCTTAATGATATTTTAAGATTTCTATTTTTTATACTTTGTCCATCTCACAGAGCTGAATTTTTCTCTCTGTTAGGTTGAACATCGTGCTGGGTGGTATGACACCTCTGTATTTCCACATTGTCAACGTGTGTTTGCACTGCACCGTAACCTGCCTGCTGATGCACGTATGCCAGTGCCACGTGTTTGAAAACCGCCACCTGGCCTTCGTCACGGCGCTCCTCTTCACCGTGCACCCTGTCCACACCGAGGCTGTGAGTATAACCATAAAGTTACAGGCTGCTCGGGGAATATGACAACAGAGTTTCAGTTATCACATGAAACATATTGAACTTGACTGTCCTGGCCCACTAGAACTGGTTTCCACTTCAACATCTCAGACAAAGAGGTTCATTCAAAATGATAAATTTTTCCTCCTCTAAGTTGAAACGTTGACCACAGGATAGTCACAGGATATTTCATTCATTTGAAATGGTAACCAACAGAGCAGTGACTTTTATCTTCTCAAGTCTATCTTCATTAAGCTGCTCCCGCTGCTCGTTTTGTTGCTTTTTGTCACACATTTGTCAGACAGCCATTCCCCTTGTTGCCAGGTTTCAAAAATGAAGGTTTTGATTTTCATGAAGCATCAATCTGTGTCTGTGTTTTCTCCTGTATTTTGGGATGAGATCATATGTCTGGGTGGAGCTGATGGTCTGTGTTCCAGTTAGAAACTGAGTCATTATTGTAGAGACCAAGTTGTCACAGTGGAAAGCTGGACTGAAAGACAGCACAGAGGCACTAATCATGGCAGCACA